TTTTTGAAACACTCTAAGGAATGAACTGGCTATTAAAGCGATAAATTTTTGCTTATCTCTAATATAATAAGTTTAATATTCTTTTTGGCGTATTATTATTATGCAATATTTTCAAGTTTCATAGCAATTAGTCTTTCTTAAATGAATTTTGTCAATTCATTTGAATCATTGAAATTTACAAATCTGAGTCTAGGTTAAGAGAATAGATTATATACCAAAATTTCGCGATGAATGCAAAAGGCGTTATTTAGGCTGAATTTTAATTTATAAGTGATTGTGTAAAAAAAACAAATTCGAAACCTTTCAAATGCATCATACAAATATAGAATTCCTAATTCCAATTTTATATTGCAATTAATTAACTCTGGGTACTTACATACGCTTACATACAGTATAACCTATTTTGTACAGTGAAAGTTATCTATTATTTTTGACTTATTTAGTTATAGCAGCAAACATAGCCTAATGATAAGATTAAAATGAATGGTAATAAATGATTCCGAGTGAAAGTTCGAATTAAACTTAAATGGAATTATTCATATCTCAAAATCCTAAATTGCATCGAAATGTTAGAAAAATTATAAAATACCAAGTTTTTGTACGTACGATTATTACAAAGGTCTGTCTCATGTCTAACTCAAATGAACATGTTAAAGCCAATGTTGATAATAACTTGGCAACTCAAAATGATTTAGATATCACTAAAAAACAAACTGTTAAATTAGAAATTATGAGTTTGAATGAAGAATATAAATCGTTCAAGAAAAATATCAAAAATCGCAGGCATTTATGTGCTGCGCATATTATATTGGCATTAATCGCTGTTTTTCTTGGTCAATTATTGACGTGGGCAGAAAAAACCAAGATGACTGGAAGTATTGGTCCCCTTATTTCGTCTATAATAGTTGTTACGGGTAGTATCATAACTATTGTTACTACTCTTTTAAATAGATTTTCAAATAAAGAGCTTGAAAAAGGTTATTCAACCCAAGTCACTGATAAAGTATTTAGGCCGATGTATATACATATCCCTGATGAAATTCTGCTTAAAATACATCAACACTTAAAAAAATTAGAAATGGAATCAAAAAAAGATCCTTATATATATTACAAAAAATATTTATACAGAAAAAATGTTTGTCTATCAAGAGAAAAAGTTACTGGTTTAATTTTTTCGGGTTTATCTTTTTTATATATTATATCAATATCAATAATTTTATCGTTATTTTATCTTGGTCAACCTGAATCATTTAGCAAAGGTGTTGATCGAGGGTTGAGACATAGTTTAATGATACTTGGAGAAATTTGGATTGGTTTTAATATTCTTTCTACTTCTTTTGATTTGTTAGACTTTATTAAAACTCGGGAGCTTTATGAAAATAATTTCTATGTTCAAAGATTTGAAAGAATTTTGGGATATTTGCTTTTTTTAATTAATATTCCTTTAATTCCTTATCATTTATTTGTTGGAAGAATTAGATTTGAAGGACTAAACCCTAGATTTAAACTTTTAAAACTACCTCTATGTGACGAAGAAAATCTTAAAAATCTTTTAAATGGAAATTTCGAAGATATAGCGAATATTGAAATCTCTAAAGATAAGGATCCAGAAAATTTCCCGACAGAACAATACCAACAAGTTAACCAGAAT